CTTCTCTGAGACTCTCAGTAATTACTCGATCCCGCGTCATTAACAACGGCGGGGAGTGCGCGCGCGCATGCGCACAGGCACACGCTTCCTTACCGCGCGCATCTCCCCAGCGCAAGGATGTTACCTGCCTGACCAACTAATGACAAAGCCAAGCCTGTCGGGCCCTTGGGATCTCAGGTTAAATTTCCATCACCCCCTAAATCAGCCCATGCTTCAGATACTGGGGACTCCTTCCCAGGCCCCAAAGCTGCCCCCCCCCACCTCCTCCCGCACCAGGGTGTTTGCTCCGACGGCTCCCTCTGCTCAGGTGCTCGTGCTCCAGTTCCTCTTGTGCAGACGTGCACGGCCCCCCCTCCCCGCCCCCGCCCGCCCCCCCCTCCCCGCCCCCCGCCCATCTAGCCCAGGGCCCTTCTGCTGCGGACTCTTCTCTGAAACCTCCACCGGCCACAGGCCAAACCCCAGAGCATCTGCTTCCAGAATGCCTGCCATCCCCATCCTTTCACTCCCATCAGACTAGAACCTTGAGGGAAGCTTCCAGTTTGTAGTCAATCGATACAGCAAATGAAAATGTTTGATCGTGGAGCAAAGAACCGCTTTCTGTTAACACTTGTATAAATAGTGTCCTATACAACCGTATCCCCAGTAGCGACTTTCATGGTTGCCACGCACTTAGTAGGGACACAAAAATATTTTTCAACGAGTAAGATATTTTCTCCCTTATATCCGTAGGAATGTGGTGGCAACAGTCTCTGTCTACACATCAATTTGGAAAATTAATTTATAAATGCCATTGTCCTGTGTTTACAACATGAAAAAGATGTCTGTTTTCACCAGCGAACAGAGTCGGTCTTTTCAGGTTTATTCCATCTTTACTTGAGAAACAAACGCATGCCTTATGCAGCGGATCAAGGTAGTGACTATATTTGCCAGCGTACCAGACACGACACTGTGTAAGGGCAAAGGAATTTCTCCTGCAGCTGATAATTTCAACACGTTCAGTAACATTTGTCTCTTGGGCTTCTGAACAAGACCATGAATGTGGAGCCATCTGAAACCTATGAGACCCTACAACAAGGGACCGACTATATTGCCATTCATACTTACTAGTTTATTTTCTGTGCTGTTTCCTGATTGCTTTCTAGTTGAGAAAATAGACTCACTGGGATTCTGAAAAATACTGCCTAACTATAAATCCATGGAAACAGAAAGCAGATCGATGGTTGCCAGGAACGGGGGGGCAGGGGGAAATGGGGAGCAATTACTTGATGGGTCGGGTTTCCTTTTGGGGTGAGGAAATGTTTTGGAACTAGGCAGGAGTGTGTGTCTTGCATGACACTGTGAAGGTACTAAATCTCGCTGAATTGTTCACTCTGAAAGGGTTGCTATTAGGTTATGTGAACTTCCCCTTAATTTAAAAAGTCGCATATGATTTAAATAATACTGAATACTTCACTGAATGTCCTACAAGGCAAGGCAGTGCTGTATTCTAGAACAGCCCTAGATCAAAGGCCCCACAGCACCCTGCACCTTGCCTTGCCTTTGGGTAAGGAACGGGGTCCCCCCATGTCTAAGCAGGGCCATGTCCTCAAAGTGTCCTTGGAGACACCCAGCTGAACACCATTACAAACCAAGCCACACGCTGCTGAGTGTCTGTGTTTTCCTTTGTTTCTCCTTTGGCTGACACCAGGACTTGGTAAGGTGTGTTTTGTTTGATTAAGGACTTTTCTAGTTCCAGAGATGGAGCCTGTGGTGGATTTTATTTTTTCCTTTAAATGAGTGGAATTTTCCAGTGGCTGGATAGAATCCCTGGACACTTCACTGGGCCATCTGTCCACCAGGGCCCAGTGGACAGGAAGCAGGAGGAGCCTGCCCACAGGGCAGAGTCATGGGCCAGCAGTTTGTCTCCACTTGTGGCAGGTTCTACAAAGGCAAGGGCTGACTGTAAAAAGGGTGGGTGGACTTGTCCTAATAGCTCATAACTTCTCAGGAAGCAGTCCTTCGTTGTCTTGTCCAGGGAGGAACAGACTCTCCACCAGAATGCAAGAGCAGCATCATGGATCAGGAGCGAGGCTGACCAGGAGGGGAAGCCATCGGCCCTCCTCCTTGCTGGGGCCTGGAGGGGGGGCCCTGGGCCAGCAGGGGCTGGGCTGCTCGTGCACAAATATCTCCTCCATCCTTTAAACACATGGGGCCCAAAGGGAAATTGCACCCTTCCACTTCAAACATGGCACTGGAGCCCAGAGCCCAATGGCTGTCATAGGCAGGGTGCATCAGTCAACTCTCTAACCAAGGTCTATGGGTTTTAACCACTTAGGTTTCCTCCTGATTTTAGCACTTCGTACCTTCTCACATGCCTTCACATACAAGGCGCCATTCAGTATCTCAAGACGCAAATGCTGCTGAACGTCTTGGAAAATACTGGCTCCAGGAAAAATTCCTTTCCTTCATGTAGTGGCAGTGCCATGAGCAGAGAAAGCCTGGTGACAAAGTTCTATGCACCTGGGGACTCTATCTAGGTCCAGCAGCAGAGGCGAGCCCCAGGAATCTGTCACCAACACATCCTTCCCAGGGGAGAACACTCTACCTAATCCTCAAAACTCCAACTTTGCTGGACATGTCACCAATAGAGTTTACCGTCAACCTGGCTCACTCAACGGGGTTTGGACCAGGACAGCCTAGATTTAGCAGTGACTGCAAAATTCCCTCACAGACCCTGGTAGGTCTAGGGACCCAATGATGGTGGCCCCTTACTGTTTTTCTCAAAAGAAGGGGCACCTGGGTGGCACAGTCAGTTAAGCATCTGACTCTTGGTTTCGGCTCAGGTCATGATCTTAGGGTCATGAGATCAAGCCCCATATCGGGCTCCGGCTCAGCACAGAGTCGGCTTGAGACTCTCTGTCCCTCTGCCCCTCCTCCTGCTCTTTTTCTTTCTGTCTCTCAAATAAATAAATCTTTTAAAAAAAATAAAAAGACGGAAAATCTGTCCAGATGTTTTTAAGGCATTTACAGCTGCCCAAAGAGGCTTGTGACTCTACCTCCTAAGTGCCTGGCAATCGTCGACCTCTCTAACTGCCACGTGGACGAAGAGGTGGAAATTAAAACGAAGCAGATTTCGAAGTGTTAGTGGAAGATGAAAGGTGTTCTAGAAGTGCCCAGGCATGAGAGGCACGTGGAGAGACATGAGCACAGGCTTGTCCGTGGGCGGCATAGTCCCCGAAGCCGACAGAAGCCCACGTGAACATTCCCAGAGATCCTTGACCCTTACACAACAAGGGGACACATCCGCCACCCTGGAAATCAGACATCTCATTCTGTGGTGTCTGCTCAGGCAGAAGAGATTCCTAGGAGGCCCCATGTGGAGACTTCTGAGTGCCCTGTCCCCTAATGCCCCAGACCCTCTCAAAAGGGAAAGGAGGAGCTCCCCTAATCCTGCTGGTGTGGGCGCTCTCGTTGGACGGTCGTTGCCCTCCCCTTTCCAGACGAGGAGGAGACGAAGCCTCAGAGCAGTTAAATGGCTTTCTCCCGAACTCAACAGCCACTGCGTAGTGGGGGCAGGCTGGGGATTTAGGGCCCTTCTGATTCAGTCCAGTGCTCTTGGATCCTCCAGAGAATGAGGCCTGCACACCAAGCTGGTCCGAAGCAGATTTGCAGTGCCCGGTGCAATTTCAGGGGCTAATTCTCAGCCAGCTGCACTCCTGAAGGCTCTGCCCCCCATTCCATTTACGCTGCAAGGGAGGATCAGCCCCGAACAGATGTGCCCCCTTTACCCGCAGCAATGGGGTCTGGGCTGACACCTCTCAGTTCCACACCTAACAGCCTGTGTCTTTTCAGAAAGAAAATCTGAAGATGTGATCGTCCACTTAGATGCATGCCTCGGGGTTTTTTTTTTGTTTTTTTGGAGGCCTTTCCTGCCCGTGATCTCATTTGCTCACCTGGACAATCTTAGCGATACATTTCATTGGTTCTTTGAAGATTCTTGGGTTTCCAGAGCCAAACTATTCAAACAAAATACCCCCAGGAAGGGACAGGACCTTGAACTTTTATTGGCTCACAGCTTGACAGTAGTTGGCAGCTAGCTGAGAGTCAGGCCCTGAGAAAGAGGGAACAGGACTGGGAGGAGTTAAGGGGGGGTCAGGAGGACAAGCAGGAGAAAGGAGGCGAAGGAGGGGGGGGGACAGCTCTATGCCCCAGCCAGTGGCCCACCTCACCGTTTTGCAGAAAGAGGCCATTCCCCGCTTCGCCCACCCACCAGAGAGACCAACTCCACCCCCAAGGCCAAAGGCAGAAAAGTCTAGAAGAAAAAGAGAAACGACAGCAGAGGTGGGAAGAAAAAGATGGAATAAACCAACCATCAGAGCCTCTTCAATCTTAATTCATTTTATTCTACAAAAACTACTCAATTGAAAGTGGAAAAGCTAACCAAAAAAAAAAAAAGTTTTAATATGTTCTTTCTTCCATAGCAGCAAGCTTTTTCTAACAAGCTTTCTTTAGTGCAAATACTGTAGGCCTATATTACAGTAAAACAACAAAACAACAGAAAACACCACCAGAAATGCTTCAGAGCAGAGCTACTCCTCAATTTTCAAAGCTCTACAAAGATTTTTGAGCTCGTGGTCCTGCCTGGAGAGGCCTATTTAGAAGCCTTTCCAATGGGACCATTTCACCAATACTTAAAAAAAAAAAGAGAGAGAGAGAGAAGAGAAGAAGAAGAAGAAGAAGAAGAAGAAGAAGCAGAAGCAGCAGCTGCTCACAAAGGTAATTCAATTCCCCCGTAGAGCTATAGGAATCTTGTACAACTTGTTTGCCTCCAGGATCTTATTGCAGACTTTACTCCACATCATTGACATATCTCAAATACAGATGCACAAAGCTTATGCTTTTCCACTATATACCAAAATACGATATATACATCTCTCACTGCAGAAAAGACACCCTGATACCTATTCTTTATACAAAGGCGAATATTTTCTTCCTCGACATCAAGTAACCACAAACTAAAATAAATGGAATAAACTTTTAATCATACAGAGAAAATAATTTTTGAGGAACAGGGCAGGATCTTCCATTGTATTTTCTTACAATGTAGACTTTCTCGGTGACCACTGTCCCCAGAGGAATGACCATCCATCTTTAAAAACAGAACCTTTTTTATACAGTTTATACAACACATGTCACAAATCATTTCAGAAACAAAAAAGCATCATTAGCCTAAATTAAAAAAAAAAATGAAGAAAGAGAGGGAGAGAGGAACTGAGTATTTTAATGCTGTTTCTCTTCAGGCTTGGTACAACACAAAGATGTAAACATTTTAAATAAATAATAAAATAAATGTCGATTTCTTCTCCCCCTCCCCTTCCCATCCCCTGCTCAAAATTTGACCCAGCCTTTCCTGAACACATCAGCATTGGAAAATGAAAGCCCTCTGTTGACGTATGGCCAAAACACTAGAAGCATGAGAAGATGTCAAATTAGTAGTGGGACGACTGAGTTTCCTTTTTAAAAGTTGCAGGAGGCACACTTGGAAATGTACACACACACACACGCACATACACACACACCCAACCTGTCAATAAATAGTGAGATGCTGGCTTTTAAGATGAATGCCAAGAAGACTCAACAAGCAGAAAGTAGCAAGACCCCTTTACTTAAGTTTTAAAAAGAAAGTTACACACATCACATATCCTATTGGTCCACAAATTCTATAAGGACTCAGGTTACCCCTCCAACCATCTGAGGAGTGCAAAGGAGCACATCACGAGGGAGAGGGAAAAGAAGTTTAGAGGTGGGAGGATACTGTGGGGGATGGGCCTTTGAGAACAAACCTCGACTGGAGGCAATCTTGCCTCAGATCTTTGAAGGAAGACCTTCTCACCTCCAAGTGCTTTTGTTTATCCATTACGTGGGGGCCTTGAAGAGGGGATACCCTCATCCCTTAGTCTCATCCTAAAGAGGGTATATTTATAAAAGTGCCTAACACAGTGCCTGGCACACAGTAGGGGCTTCTGCCTTTCCTTCTCAAAGGGGCCGTGTGATATCTGATCAGGAAGGAGACCAACCGGAAAGGTAAATGGTGAGATTGCAGGAGCGCTGTTGGTCCATCAAGGGAAGGGGAGAAAAGTAGCACTGAGTCCTCCCTTAGACTTAGAGCCAAGTGGGAGCAGAGAGGAGACTCTCTTCCCCAAAGCCTGAGAAAAGGAAGCAGTAACCTCTGAGGGCTCTTGGCTGAGATGCTTGTGTGACTGGCCACAGTGGAACACCTGGCCTTTCTCACAGGCAGAACAATGATTTCTTTCTGAAAACTTCCCCCGTGAATTCTCCGCTTACAGCTGGCTCCGGCCATTGCCCGAGCTTCACCTGGGCTCTCCTCTCTTTCCTGTGTCAAAAGCTGTCCTCGTCCATTCAGCCAGGAAGAGGACTGATCCCAGAGAGGCCAGCCAGGTGGCCGAGAGGACAGGGTGTGGTTCACACTAGCCTGTCAAGGAGTGCCTGCCCTGTGCCGTCCCAGAGCTGCCTGCAGCCCAGCTGGAGTCCACACCAGCTGCCTCATGGCTGGGGACACAGGGGAGGCACAGCGGTTCCCAACCCAAGCATGAAGGCACCCCCACTGCAGCTCTTCCTGTAGCTGGAGCCATGGAGGAGAAAGCAGAAGGCCTGGTGGCTGGTAATTCTGGAACAATGGTGTGTGTGCAGGAACTCAGAGAACAAGCCAAAAGAAGTCAAGCAGGATGTGCTCATGAGTTTGGGGTGAATATTCGGCCTTCCCCAAATAACCTCTGGCTTTGGGAAAGCCAAACCACCTCCTGGAACAAAGCCAGAGGGTCCTGAATGGGACAGCTGAGAGGCCTCTATAGTCCTCCGGGGTGGTGGAGTTTCTGTCTTCTGCTGGTCCCAAAGCCAACACAGCCTGAAATCTGAACTAAAGCCAAACTCTGTCTCAGGAATGTCCAGCCTGGCCCCGAGTCACAGACTGTGGCCTGCCTTGGGATCAGTGCTGTGCAAAGTGGGGCACAAAGGGACGTTTAGAAATAAAACACCAAAGCAGCTTCATTTAAGAAATATATACATATATATTGCATATATACACACACACACACACACACACACACACATGCAAAAAGAAGCAAAGAGCTCCCAACTGGCCACAAATACCACTTGAGATGATTAAGCCTTTCAGAACTGAGCGCACCCCGGTTTTCTTTGCCCACCTCCTGCTGTTCCTGGCTGACTTCTGTTTCTTCGATTAATCTGAAGCCAGAAACTCAATTGCCTAGTCTAAAAAGGAGTGCCCCTCCCAGAACCTCTGGGAAACCGGGAGGGCAGCCTCATAGCCAGAGAATGTGGGAAATAACATTTTTAAAATATTTTTGGACAAAATCCTTTTTCTTTTAATCTCCTCTCTCTGCATGGCCTAGCCTTTCACACGTCACTTCCAGTCAGAGCGGGCTGTGTACTTTAAGCCTCTGGCTGCCCCATTCTGCGCGCTCCCTTCTAGAGCTCGGAGGGGGGTATGGGCAGCAAATAAGGACCAGCGCTCGAGGCCGGGGTGTGTGAGGGGGGCAAGTGAGCGAATGCCTTACAGCTCCTGCGCTTGCTCTCTCTCTCTCTCTCTCTCTCTCTCTCTCGTGTCTAACTTTGAAATTTAACCCCCACTGGGTTTGATTTAAATAATATCTATCTAATTTTAAATTATCATACAATGATCTCTAGAGCTGAATCACAATAGCAGGGTCTCCCCCAGAGCAGCTAGCCCAGCAGAGGCCAATCCAAGAAGATCAGCCAGAGCTATGCCCTCGGGAGAAAAAGGCTCAGAGGGGTGGGAGGCAGGGAGGCCACTCAGCTGTGCTTTTGCAGGAGGCCAGAGGACCCCCTCCCTGCTCCCCGCCCCACAGGGGAAGGGGGCACCTCTCCTGCAGTGGGAAGCAACACATCTTATGTCTGATTTCAGCAGCCCCCCAGGAATGACAGGTAAGCCCCAAGCCTTATTAACAACAGCTCCGGGCCACTGGTCCACAGCTGGCTGGCTGGACCCGAGGAGCACTCTGGGGGAAAGAGTATGTAAAAGAGAAAGCGCTCCATCAGGTAGCCGGTGACCACAGCAGGTAGAAAGGGCCCAGCAGCTCACTGAGAGGCGAATCCCACTCTGCCTCCCTCTTTCCTCCCCTACCTTTCCATCCACAACAGAAGCGCCTTTTGAGGCTTGGGGAGGGGCCACCTGGCAGCAATCTGGGGAGGGGCCAGCCCCACGCTCATTAAATCTCCGTGGGTGGCGTCACCCTGAGAGCCAGGCTGGGGGAGGGCAGATCCAGTAGGGACTTGGAGTGATGTGTGGTTCCTAGGGAGGGACGCCTCCCTGGTCTAGAGAGAAGGGTCCAGGGGCAGGATGGCGAGGCAGTAATTATAGGAGACGTCCTGCTCAAGATACCAGGTAAAGGGAAGCTGGCTAGGACACCTATGTGGCTTGTTGGCACTATTCCTGGCCTGGTAATTAGGCATTTGGCAAACCCAACCTGTGCCCCGGCTGTCTCACTCACACCCTGTCTTCTGGACAAGCCGCTCCTCCAAAAAGTTGTCTCCGAGGATGGAGAGGAAGGGTCCTCCGGGCCTCCCAGTGATGGCAACATCTCCTTGAGAGCTCAGGGAGCCCTGCTGGTGGTCCTGGAGATGGCGGTGGACCGGGGAGTGTCAAGGGAGAGAAGGTTCTGTATTGCACATTGACTGTCCCCTTCCGGACAAGTCAGCCCCAGCAGAAGAGTCAGTCACCTGCTGCCCATCTCCAGAAATGAAGAGCTTTAATATTCACACCACCCAGATGAAATGTCATGGCAAATTTGATAAAAACCAAGAGGAAGTGAAATTGACACTGGGGGGAGGAAGGGGCGAATAGAGGGAAGGTGAAACCAAAAGGCACTGAGCATGCTGGGTGGGGCGGGGAAGGACACCATCACTCCAGAGACGTAGCATAACAAGGGACAGGAACGGTCCACACCAGCCGCAGGCTCTTCAGAAGCCAGAGAGATGCCTGAGTCCACCAAACCAAGTTCTCCAAGGCTTTTCAAGAAACAGGATTTGCTTTGCAAGATGAACGACGGAGGAGGTCCCATGACTTCTAAGAGATGGCTGAAGTCCTCAGCGCCTCGCGGCCAAATCCCACCTGGGTGTCCCCAGAGCCGGGCAGCTCTGTGGCAGGGCCCCCCTCTTGCCCTCACGGCCCTGGAGCCCTCGGGGGTGCTGGTCCCTGGGAAGGAGGCAGTGACGAGGACCCCCCGGGAGCCGGGTTACAGAGCCAGCAGAGTGGGGGAGTTCAAGGAGTCTGACGACTGGTCCCCGCTGCTACTGCTCCGCCGGTGAGCCTTGGAGCAGGACTCGGAGGGTGACGCGGGCGGTTCCTGCTCCAGGACGCTGGGGTAGGTGAAGACGAGGTTCGACGTGCCCGGAGTGATGGCCGGCGTGGAGGTCACCACGATGGGGGTGTGCAGGGGCTCCTCCCCGTAGAAGCCCCCAGCAATGCTGATGGGCTTGATGACAGAGCGCTGGGCCTTGTCTAGCCCGGCCGAGGAGGAGGAGGGGCTGTCCTCTTCCAGGGGCTCCTGTTTCACCACCACGGCGCCCGCTCCACCGCCCCCACCACGCAGGGACGGCAGCCCAGAGGCGGGAGGCGATCGGCGCTCCTCGGGGCTGATCTTGCACACAGGCCCGTGGGCCACCAGCATGAACTCCAGCTTTTCCTTCTCCTTCTGCAGCTCGGCGATCTCTTTCTGCAGGCCTGACTTCTCCTCCTCCAGCTCCTCTGTCTCCTGCAGGGGGAAGAGAGGGGTGTGAGGGGCAGGAACCTGCCAGGGGCCTGCTGGAGGGCGGGCGGTTCGAATCCAGATGAGAAAGGGAAACCCAGAGCTGTGAAAGCAGCGAGCTCACACCCCTGGCCACAGACCCCACCGCTTCTGAAACACCTGGAGGCTCAAGAGGCCTTTTTTTGTCCAAAGCTCCGGATAGAGAAAGGAGGAAAGTCGGCTTGTTGGAAGGATGAATCAATAATTAGCTGGCACGATGGAGGGCTTCCTTTGTGCCCGACACGGCAGGCAGTCCTCCAGAAGATTTCTGAAGCAGCTATTTTCAATCAACTCATTTTGCAGATAAGGAAACTGAAGTTCAGAGAGGTTTGGTAATTTGCCCAACGTCACAGAGCAAGCAGGTAGGGTAGACCAGACTTGACCCCAGTGTATCCGATCCCAGGGTCCCTATGCTACCATGCCCTGTGCCCTCAGTGCCAGGACTGCCCCCAGCTACCCCTGGGGGGGGTCATAGTGAGGTCTGGAGGGGACGGGAGCACAGTGTGCAGTCCCACCCCTCTCTCCTCCTCATACCCCCTCAACCCCATCAGCCTGCCTTCAGCTGCATCAACACCAGCCGCTCAGCTGCATGCACAAGCTGAGGACAGTGCCGGGCCGGCAGGAAGTTCTCCAGCAGTCCCGGCTAAATCGGCACTGCCCCACTTCCCTTTTTTGCTCTAATTTCTGAAGCATGTGATTCAGGACTCACAGAACCCCTGGAGAACATTCCGTTCAGTCCCCGCGCTTTAGCAGAGGAGGAACCCGGTGGCCCGAGCAGGCCTGAGGCTGGCAGGGTCCCAGGCAAGGAGCTCGGCCTCCTCCTCTGACACAAAGCCAGAGAGAAGCAGCAAACACCCGCAGAGGGAGCGGGTGCGAAAGGCGAAAAGGTGTGGTGTCATGGGCCTCCTCCCCACTTGTCCCCTATCAGAGTCCCGTTCGAGAATGAGATGGTACAGGCCAGAGCTTCACGAAGCAGAGAACGGCATATTCCACAGTGAAAAAAAGTTTCCATCTGTCTCAAGGGTCTGACAAACGTCATGAGCTTATGAGAGGTTTCCTGTGGAGGATGTGGCTCAGGGGCCTGGGTGGCTGGGGCGGGTGGAGCGGCAGGGGAGTAGGGTGTGAGGCTTCTGGGGGAGGGAGGGGAGGAAAAGCAGGGGGCCCCGGAGGAGGGGCTATTCTGGGGCTAGCGGTGGGGAGCACCCAGGGTAGACCCAGAGGACCTGGCCCCTTAGCAGGTTAGTGGAGGACTCCACACCATGGAGCGCTGGTCACTAAGGGATCTCTTCACCTAGTGATGGAGAGCGCCCACCTGTCCTCCTGATGCTTGCTCACGCGTGCGCGCGCGCGCACACACACACACACACACACACACACACACACACACCCTTCCACTGGACATTCCTGCAGCCTACAGGGAATTCACACGTACACGTTCAATCCCCTAGAGTGAGGGCTCCAGGATGGATGAAGGGAAGCTGGGGCAGGTGGATGGCACTGGGAGCATTAAATAAAGTCATGGGATGTGCAAGGTAATTGGTGATTTCCAAAGCCGCTCCCTGGCCGGTCACGGTAAGGACCGCCGACAGTCTCCCCGGCCTCCTCACTTTGAAAACATTCCACCCGGGACAGTCAGGCCTGGCTTTAGGCTTCCTCCACGCGCCATTCAGCCCATCCTGTAGGGCTAGGCTCTGGAAGGAGTTACGTGATGTTGGTCAGGTCGGGCTTTTGAGAGGGAAGGGCAGGGCCGTGGCCCCCAGGTGTGGGCAATTAGGCAGCAGGGGCGAGTGACTCACAAGGGCAGAGTGAGCTACCAAGGTGAAAGCTTCAGGCTCATAGCAGAGGTGGGGAAGCCTTCTGCCCATGAAGGATGGGAGAAAACCCCAAGATAGTCCAAATCAGCTGGCATGTGACCATTTCCATGAGACCCAGAGAGCTTCCAAAGCCCTGCCGAGGTGAAAGGACCCAGCCCTGCCCAAACTAGCTCACTTAAGCTAGCCCGGGCCACTCCTGCTGGTGGTAGGCACGGGGGCAGCTGAAACCTTGGGAAACAGCCCTGAGGGGGCAGGTCTGGGCCTGCGCAGGCTCCCTCTGCCATCCCTCACCCAGGGGCCCCAGAAGGTTCGAGAGTAGGGAACGCGCATGTGCTGAAGGAGAAAGGGTGCTAGGCCCCAGCAGGCTGTTCGGGGCCGTGTCTGGGCCCAGGCTGGTGCCGAAGCCCAGCTCCCGCCCGCCCTCTCCCTTCTTCAGTTAGGGCGATGCTAACCCTCTGTGCTCAAAGGAAGGCCCGTTTCTGTCGGCACTGGCTCATCGATCGGCCACTAGTGGACAAGGAGAGGGTGGAAGGCCAGGAGCCCCAGGGCTCTTGCTCTCGCCCACCCGGAAGTGCTCCCACCCCACGCAGAGCTCCTCACCGCCTGCAGCTTCTCTGTCAGCTCCCGGCGGCGGTTGCGGCACTTGGCTGCGGCCAGCTTGTTCCTCTCCCTCCGGATTCGACGTTTCTCCTCTTCTTCAGGGGACAGCTAGAGGCCAAGGTCAAGGATCATGATTAGGTTTGGGTACATGATTCACCAGCTTTGTTTTCTCACTATATTTTTTTTTTTTTAAGATTTTTTTTTTTTTTTTATTCATGAGAGACAGAGCGAGAGAGAAAGGCAGAGGGAGAAGCAGGCTCCCAAGGAGCAGGGAGCCTGATGCGGGGCTCGATCCCAGGACCCTGAGATCATGACCTGAGCCAAAGGCAGACGCTTAACCATCTGAGCCACCCAGGCGCCCTTCTCACTATATTTTAAGAAACCCTTCTGAGGGGCACCGAGGTGCCACATCGGTTGAGCATCCGACTCTTGGTTTCGGCTCAGGTCATGATCTCGGGGTCACATCAGGCTCCGCGCTCAGCATGGAGTCCCCTTGGGATTCTTGCTCCCTCTCCCTCTGCCCCTCCCACTCGTGAAAGAAAGAAAGGCAAGAAAGAAAGAAACCCTCTGGGACTGGGTGGGAGAGAGGCGAGAGGAGGGTGGCTGGGCCCCGCATTCCCGGAGTCTGCGGCTCACTGCTGTGGCCACCAGGGAGGGCACTGAGAACCGAACCCACCCTGGAAGGTGACATCCCATGTATGAGGGCAGCAGTGTGTCAGGGACTCATCAGCCTAGGCGAGATGGTAGCATTTGTCATGTCAGCCCTGATTCTGTGCCAAGGCCAGAGAGAAGAAGCTGGGGCCACTTCCCCAGAGTCCCCTCACACCAGCCAGGCCTGGCCCCACCCACTTAAACAGCTTCTTCCAAACCCTGGCTAATTACTCCTCCCCACCACTCTGCCAGCTCTGCAAGCCTCATTATCCCCGTTTGGTTAAGTAGCCAGGCCCAGAGTAAGAACCACCCCGGGGGGGAATGTTCTATTGCCAGGGGGTAGGCCAAGGATGCCACCCCACTCCCAACTTCCTCTACCAGCCCCAGAGGGCTAGCTGCTCACCATTCAACCTGGAGGACTCGCTAGTGTGCCTGGCACAAGGCTAGGCCGGATGGGACAGGCAAACGGAGAAGGAACCCTCAGGCACATTCAATCCTGCTGCCCACCACATCCATTCATTCAACCAACGAGAAACTTCTTCGAGGTGTCAGGCATGGTTTGACGGGTCTGAGATTTATCAGAGAACCAAATGAACAAAAATCCCCCTGCAGAGCTTACAATCTAGCTCCTTATGATGAGGCTGGTTAGGGGCCCATGACTCATGCCCCTGGGCAAGAACTCTGCTCCGCGAAACAGGGCTGACGCTCTGTTTACATGTAGCCCTTCCTGTGACCCCAGGGCCCCTCGCAGGCAGAGGTGACACGAGGCCGTGGGCCAAGGTGGAAAGTAATTCCAAAAGAAAGGCCATCCCATGCTGTTCTCAGACAATGACGGCATCCCTACTACGTGCCAAACGCAGTCCTGGGGGCTTAGAAAATTCTATGGGGAATAAGATCTGGGTTCCACCCTCCAGGGACAACATGGGAAAAAAGCCGAAGCCACTTCTGGAGGTGAGAAAAGCTGCCTCACTTCGAGATGCTGCCCCACTGTCAGCCGCCCCGTGAGGGAGGAGGGAGTCACGGCCCCGGCTGGGCCCAGGTCAGAGGCCCCAGGGCTCCCCACAGCCCTGCAGGTCTGTTGCTGTGATGTGCAACACAGAAAAGCAGGTCACAGCATCGGAGAGGACAACTCCACCCCTGTCTACACTGAGGAAGCCCCATGGCTCCAACCAAGGGGCAGAGTCCCACATCAGATTCTCCAAACGCTGGCATGGAAACATGCCCATCAACCGCTCAGACGTGAAGTCTCTCTGAGGCCTCAGGTCCCCTGAGCACAGAGGAGCTCATCACACCTTCTCAACTTTCAAATCCACCCCACACCCCTGCAATAGTCTAGGTGTGTGGCCCACGGGGAGGCAGGAAGCCTGGCAGGCTCTAGGGAGACCTACCGGCCTCCTGGTACCTCAGGTCCCTGTCTCCCAGGGCTTGGGCGGAGCTGTGTTCCTGCCGAGGCAGACGCAGGCCTCCTTCACCCCCAGGACATCAGCCCATGCTCCTGCACTGCCTCTGAGACCCCACCTCACTGGGATTAAGAACCAGGCCCAGCTCCCCTCTCCCACCAGCTCCACCCGCCCTGTGTCTCTTGCCCCCTGCAGCAGCCTCCAGGTGGGGCACACAGAGCCCACCCAGCTGGTGACACCCCGGTGAGTCCCCAGGCCCCTGCCAAAGGCCTGCTCTTCGAGTCCCACACTTCGTCCTGGCTCCACCTCTGTCCTCCAGCCCCGTCTTCAGTCCCAGCCTCTGAAATCCTCGGCCTCCCCTGGAGAGCCAAAGGCTCCACATTCTCTCTTCTGAGAGGTCTAAGGCCGACTGGGAGCAGAACACAGATGGGGCGATTTTGTGTGGCCTTGGACAAATCACTGAACCTTCTGAGCCTCAGATTTCCCCATTTAGAATATGGGATTATTAGGACCTGCCCTGCCCTCCAAAAAGTTTCTGGGATGATCAGATGAGATGCAGCGTGAGAGCCCTTTCTAACCTAGAAAGTGCTAGAAGGAAGAAGATGTAATTCAGAGGTCTCCTTGCTGATGCTTTTTCAGAGCCCTGCAAGAGTCCACAACCTTGGGTACCATGCTCTGTGTGGGGACTGGCTGCCCAACTGAGGTCATGAGGCCACTTGGCTGAGGCCCTGAATATGTGCTGGTCCTAAACCTGTCTCAACCTGAGCCCAGCCGTTACCAAGAGAGCCTGCTGGGCCCGCTGCAGTCCCGCACTCAGGGCTCACTACTCAAAGGGCTACCAGGGCTCCCCTTGAGGCCCAGACAAGCCCCTCATCCCTCACTGACGAGGGGCAGAAAAGATGCAGAGCCGGTTGCGGTCCCTTTGGGCCTCCCTTCCCCTTTGGGGGCTTCTGGACAACTTCTGACCTCCCGATTAGCCTAGAAGTCTCTCCCCTATCTGTAAGATATGGGGCAGCTTGTGGGAGCTGTCAGCAAGGAAGTGTTCAGGGGTGGTGACACCAATATGGTTACAATTTGAGTGTGTCAGCACCACCGCGGACCCACCCACAAGCCACACACCCTCTGCTCCCCGCCTCCTCAGTCGCCACCACTGGCCTCAGAGGGAGCCTCTGGGCAGGCTCTGAGGAGGGCAGTGAGGCACCATGCTGGCTCTGGGGAACAGGCTCGTCCTCCTGGGGGAGGTCAGGAAGGTGGAAGTAAGCTTCAGAGGAAGACCCTCGGGCTAGGAACGCAAAGAGCCAAGGTTCAAGGATGCTACTGCCCAGGCTTCCTCCAAGCTGCTGGATGATTGTCTGAATTCCTAACTGATGTGGGATAAAATGCTCCCGGCTCTCTCCCTCCCTCTCAGAAAAGGAAGGAAATTCTCCAGACAGATTGTCTTAAGGCACGCCTAGGTGGTGTGGTGGGAAAACCACAGGGCTGAAGGTCAGAGGAGGTAGATTCCAGTCCTAGCTTGGCCACTAACTCACGGCGGCGTAACCCTAGACGGGGCCCTTCTCCTTTCTGGACCTCTGTTTCCTCATCTGTAAAATGGGTACAGAGGGAAAACTGGAAAAGCTGGTCTCCAAAGTCCCTTCAGATACAAGCTTCTATATTTGGTGTAAGCTAGGCCCAGAAAAGAATGGCGAGCATTCAGCACATCTTGCTTTTTGTCCTGCTAGCTCAAGAGTCCCTCACAAAACTGGCTGTCACTTAGAGGTCACTTACATAATGGGGGGGGAAGGGAGCCAGCTCATCGGTGACCATAAAGCTTGACACCTTGGGCTCCTGAAGGAAGCCTATTTAATAAAGGACAGTACGATCGCTGCTACTGCAATGTTTACAACTACAATTTTGGAAAGCAGCAGCGAGGGGGAGATTGGTCACTCGCTGCAGGAGCAGAAGACCAACAACTGCAAGCAGCAACTATTACGGTGTCCATTACGCTCCATGTCACCCTGCGCTGAGTCCTGCCATTAACAGAACAAACTAGCGTGTAGGGGATGCAAGGCCCAGCTTTATCCTCAGAGGAGCGAAGATCCTATGAATGCTCCCAGTTCCTCAGAGTAGGGACCCTTGTAATTCTAAGTATCCTGGGGACTGTTGGCACTGGATCCATGATTATCCACAGGGACCACGGGTGAAAGGTCCTTGTATCGGAACACTGTGGACCTGGGATCCCAGAACGAGAGTGGACAGTGGTGGAAATGGAGAGGAATGACTCTCCAGGCAAATATTTCATTTGAAAAAGGGATCCCACCACTAAAGTACTTTCCCTTCCCAGATCCATAGTGACACGGTACTGTAGAAAGAGCACTGTACAGGGAGTCCAGTGAACTGGGTTCTAGTCCAGACTTCCCACAATCTTTCCAAGTAGCCTCAGGCAGGTTTGTCTAAGCTTTGGTTGTATTGCCTGTGAAGGGGGATACATGGGGCACTTCGAAGGCTCATCCCCCCCCTTTTTTTTATTCTTATGTTAATCCCCATACATTACATCATTAGTTTTAGATGAAGTGTTCCATGATTCATTGTTTGTGCATAACACCCAGTGCTCCATGCAGAACGTGCCCTCCTCAATACCCACCACCAGGCTAACCCATCCTCCCACCCCCCTCCCCTCTAGAACCCTCAGTTTGTTTTTCAGAGTCCATCGTCTCTCATGGTTCGTCTACCCCTCCAATTTCCCCTGCTTCATTCTTCATCCCCCCTTTTTATGCATGATTCTGATTTCTCTTTTCGGAATCAGGGGGCCCACCACTACCCTAGCTCACTACTGATAGAGATGACATGCCTTTGAGTACTGGTAGATGGTGTCTAGAGAGCAACGGCCCACACTTTCTCATGTCCCTCCCTGCCAGGTGGACTCCTTCTCAAAGCTGAGCCCCTGGAGGGCAAAAAAAGCCGACATCTGACCAGCCCCCCACCACACATCGTCAGCAGGAGCAGCTGAGCAGACTCGAAAGACCCCAGAGTCACCACCCTTCTGGAATGGGCATTCTAGGTATGTAAAATGGGCTCCTGCTTCAAGCTGGAGGCCTGGGACGCCGAGCAGGAAGGGCAAGTACTGTGGGCCTGGAGGGTGACCCTTCAGGTCTGCTGAGCATTTCCCCTGCACCAGACTCCAGGAGACAATGAAGGGCTAATCCCAAAAACTCCCCGCCAGGGTTTCGTTGGCTGTGTGTCCTGCGGTCCCTCGGCCAAGGATCAGGGAAGGACATCGGTGTAGGCAGGTCCTAACGGTCCTTCCCATCCGCGGCCACCGTGCCACGCACAGAGTGTTTTCCCACACGTGGTCTCATTTGCGAGGCTACAACTCCTATCCGGCAGGCGCCATTATCCCCATTTTGCGCTGAGGAAGCTGAGACTCAGGGATCCTAAGGGACATGAGCAAGATGACAGAGCCGGGCCTGACTCTTGGGCCTCCAGCTCTGCTTCCCATGAGGAAGGGTCATGTGCCCATGGTCCCGAGCTGCCTCTTCTCCTCAGTGCTTCCAGAACACCGACCCGGCTCCCCAGCAGACCACAGAAAAACACTGTGTGTTACAGGCCCTGAAAGGCACCCATGTGGCTGCCTTACCCTGATCTGAGGCCTACCTGCTCATCTCTCCTCCTGCGGCCCACGGTGGTGCCAATGGTCTTGATCACGCCAGGTCTCGGGAGTGCCATGTGCCCAGGGACCGAGGCCAGGCCCGGCAGGGGGCTGTAGGGGTGCGAGCGGGGGTACGGGTTGGACATGGAGGTGATCACCGTGGGCTGCACCATCCACTGCAGGTCCTGGCTGGTTGTGATGGCGTTGATGGTGGGGATGAAGGCACTGCCTGAGCCAGGCATATCTACCCGAAATTTCTGCAATGAGGAGAAAAAATCGTATTGAGCCAGTAAGTACGGAGCAGAAGAGGGCGAGCAGAGCCAGTGCTTGGAGGGCGGCCAAGGTCAGAACACTGGGTGGGCTTCCCTGGACATCCAAGAATCAGGGGGATCTTAACTATTCCTGAGGCCCCAGGGCAGATCTGTTCCCCTGAGGTCCTCAGGTGGCTCATGAAGACGTGATCATACCGCAAATGACTTCGAGGGCAGATGTGGTCCCTAGCCACTTACACTCAGCAGGCCCTCCCTGCGGCCTTTGGGGCTAGCTATGCCCGCATCTGCAGGGCAGCCCTCCCCACCTGGCCTCACGAGCCTCTGGGTCACCTGCCAATTAGCCCCCAGGGTACTGGGGCTTGGGAGCCCTTGAGGAGATTTGCATACCAACAGCTCTGGGGCAACAAAGATCACCAGGAAGCTTATTGTGCCTGCTTTTGTTACTTTCCAAATAGGTGCAGGATGGGGCTACGACCTGATCCAGGGTGAGGCCAGGTCCATGAAAAGGTGCCCTCCGACTCATGGGACTGAAAAGTGGTAGCCTTTGTGGCCAGACTTCCCTTTAAGTCCTCGTCCTCCTCCTGGCCCTTAACCGCCATCTTGCTTGGAGCAGACACACCGCGTCTCTACCCACCTACGTATCTATCTGCGTTCATAGATGTGTCTGTGCGAAACTTTAGTGCTGTTAGCTCAGAGTTTTCTCCCCGACTCTTAATTTATGCCCAGAGCGTGTTGCAGAACTCTCTGGAACATACTGCAGGAAGCATTCTATTTAAAATATAAGATGATGACAGAGTAGAAACACTAAAACGGGTCGTGCTCCTCAGCAGTTGGTCTTGGCCTTTCTTCAGGGCCGGCTACTAGAAAGTGAGAGGAGGAAGAAGGGAGGGACCTCCCTGCCCCCAGGGCCCCCCCTGGCTTCCGGCTTTTCAGGAGGAAAGCTCCCTGAAGGGAGCCCTCATCCTCAGGTGATTCCCATTTCCACACAAAGGTTCTGCAAATTCTTTCTTCCCTAACCTGGCGGGTGACATGATGAAAATAATGTCACTTACTGAGTACGCACTAAATGACAGTCACCATGGTAGAGTCTCACCTCAATTGTCTGATTAATTCTCCCTCTGAGGTAAGAACTACCATTATCTCCATTTTAGAGGCAGAAATTTAGGCGCAGAGAGATTGAGTAACTTATCCAAGGCCACCCTGCTCCTAAGCAGGGGAGGGGGGGGGTCAGGATTCAAATGCAGTCCAGCCTGACAAAGAGGACAGGGCTCTCAACCATGGTGCTACATAAGCTTCTGTGCATTGCTTTTTCGTTCCTGGAAACCCAGACCCAGGTGCTGCTGGTACCCACCCCTACTGCCCTCAGAGCATCAGCTCATCCCTGCCAAGAGTCCCTACAGACCGTCCCTCTCCCCCAGGAGGCCCCATAGGTCTGACCCCAGATGAAATCTTGCTATCACTAGCATGGGGGTATAGCCTCCCCCCTCTCTTGGCCTGGTCAGACCAACCAGGAGTAGAAATATTAGCAGCAAAGCCAGCTGACACCACCCTTGTCTCTGTCCCTGGTGACAGACGACACCTGGGTTCCTGTTGTGAACATAAAGTGGAGCTTAGAGCACCTCACTGTAACTGAGGGGGCTGGGGCCCCGTCCTTGCTCTTTCCCACCAGCTGCCTGTCCCCAGTCTGGGTGGAGGGATGTCTCTGCCTCACTTCCCAGACTGCCCCGGGGCCCCAGGTCAAGGGCGTTTGGAGAAGAAAGCACAACCCAGCACAAGGGATTCTGGGATTCCATGAGGACAGCCACCAGTGCGAGGAATCCTGGGATTCTGTGAAGTTACCGGTGCCATGGATTCTGGAATTCTATGAGAAGAGCTGCCCAGTACAAAGGATCCTGAGTCATCTTGGAAGGCAAAGACAACTCGGCTTTTTATCAGGAGCTGACTGAGCTGGTGTGTGTGTGTGTGTGTGTGTGTGTGTGTGTGTGTAGGTAGGAAGGATGCAGTGAACAAGGAAGAATCCAGGTGGGAAATGATCTTCAAGGAGAAAACGTGGACAGCTGAGCTGGGCCTTGAAGAGGCTGAGTATTGAAAGCTCGGGCGTGTGGCTGAGCGTGCAGAAGCACAAAGGCCCAGACAGCTACGCTTCTCTTGGGCTGTTGGATGGGAGGGGGGGAGGCAGCAGGAGGCCTGGATGTGAGGCCTTTGCAGAATCAGGGAGGGCTGTTTCCCCATCTTGGAGGGAGAATCCGAACATCAAACTCACCGCACTGTCATGAGGATTAAATAAGTAGCTACTTATAATCACTGGCTACAAAAGCACACCGATGGTTCTCAACCGTGGCTGCCCATTAGGATATTCTGAGGAGCCTTTTCAAAACACCAACGTCGGAGTCAGCCTCACCATTAGAGTTCTAAAATAACATGTCTGGGGTGGGGTTCTGATAAGGTATTTAAAAAAAAAAAAAAAGCCTGAGGAGATTCTAACGTGCAGCCAGGGTTGAGAAACACCGCGCCAAACAAATGGACGGTGGCACCGTCCTCAAAAATCACTACCGCCACCGCCATGACGGTGCCTCATCACCGTGTCTCTGCACTCTGCTAGGGGTCCTCTAGGAAAAACCGCCAGCTTCCCGCTCCTGGGAAGCACCCAACATTTTTATTCCATTTCTCTCCCCAAGTCAGGTTCTGGGTCTGAAGAACTCCTGAGGCATCCCGCATGAGGGCTGAATGTGACCCTCCACCTCTGTGGGAACTGTCAGCTTTTCTTTCAGGAAAGCCTCCAAGAAATTCACTCCTCATCTCAACAAACAAAAGAGCTCCCATTTCAGCCTAGGGGAAGCAGGAAACCTGAAGCACAGCTGGGAGGCTAAGATCCCTTGGGAATAAGTGGATGACTCGCAGCCCCCCGGGGGCCCTCCAGGGCCCTCGCTCTGGGTCTCCAGAATGTGCTCCCCGGCCTTCAGCCAGATTCCTTGCAGCAATAGCTGGGTCTAGACAAAACAAGACAGCAGTAAAAACAAGGCACTAGGTAATGACTGCCTCTAAGTGCGTGCACAGCTTGTTTCAGAGGGAGGTAAAGCCATCTGGGTAACACGCTGGTTCTAAACTGCATGGAAAACAAGGTCCTATCCCCAGAGGGGACTAGGGCTGTGCTCAAGAAGGCTTTTGTCTCCTCCAGGAGCCTCTCTGAGACGCTTGCACACGTTTCAAGGAGATCTGGCAGATGTGACTCGTCTCCCCTCCAAAGGTATTATTCAGAAAGCTACCCTGGAGTAGGAGAGAAGAGGTGAGGCGAGGAGTCTGTGGTCCCAGGAGTCAGCCGGGCACTCTTCTTCGCCAACAGACCCAGGAATCGGTCAAACATCATGCTTAGAGGAGTCATGGTTCTCCGTGGAAGGGTTAATACTGAACAGAAGCCAAGATAGGGCTTCTGGGCTGCAGGCACGAGGGCCGTGTGAGCCCTGCCACAGCACCAGGTATGTGCTGAGAGGGGGGATAGAGGAGGGAACCCTGGACCTCACTTGAGTTGCCTGGGGCTCTCCAGCGCCTCTGGAAGCTCCTCCTCCAGGGACAGGATGGAAGATGCCGGAGGGCTGGGTGGCATTCCAGCCTGGCAAAGCCTCCAAATGCTTTCTTTCACTGTGTCATCCTGTTGACTTCTGGGTGGGCAAGAATGCCTATAAAAGGACAAACTGGCCCCCACCGACCTCCTGGAGCAGAGTGTGACAAACTTTGGCTGTAAAAGGCCAGATAGTAAATATTTTAGGCTTTGTGGGTCACGTGGTCTCTGTCGCAACTATTCAACTCCGCCACGGACAGAATGTAAACAAATAGGTGTGCCTGTGTTCCATGAAACCTTATTTACAAAAATACCTGGGCCGTGCTTCGGTGACCCCCCCCTTATAGAGGACCATTCCCTCTCCTAATGCTCAGGTTGGGGGGAAATAATAAATAGAGGGAACAAGAAAACAAAACAAAAAACAAAACAAAACAAAGGAGAGAGCACTCTTCCTTTAACTCAGGGAGTCTCACTCACCAGCTTGAATCTCCAGACCAAGAGGCTGAAGTTCAAGCCCTTACAAGCTTTGTTGTGGGTTTGTGGGGATCATAAAGACCCCTCTTTATCCTGAAGCACCCGTATTTAAGGGTGCCGTGGGGCTGTTCAGTCCTGTTCCCAGAGTCCATAAGGAAGACAGCTCAGAACACAGCACCCTAGTTACCCAGCTTCATCAGGGCACAGAGGTCCCTGCAGCCTAGCACTTTCTGATTTGGAAAAATGACCTTCCTGAACTTGACAGCTGGGCCTTGGATTCAGAAATGAGGGTCACAACCATAGTCTTTTGCAGAAGCGTCTAGGAAGTAGGGTTTGGGTTCCCATTTCCTACAGACATGGATGGGGCAGGGCTTGGCCCAGATATTCCTGAGCTGGGCAGAAATGGCATTTGAGATGCACTGAGGGTCAGTGTTCTCAGCCTATCCACTCAGCCAGGCATTCCTCCATCACATTGATTCCTGACTGGGCCCCCAAGCACTCAAGCCATGAACCCCATGAATACCTGTGACCTGTCTCAGCAGGCAGGCAGGTATGACTATGCAAGTCTGGAAATGGACTGGCTTCTCTTAAGAACCTCCCCCCTTTTAAAAAAAAAAAATTTATTTATTTGTGAGAGAGCAAGTGAGCACAGGCAGGGGGAGCGGCAGGCAGAGGGAAAGGGAGAAGCAGACTCCCCACTGAGCAAGGAGCCGGATGCGGGGCTCGAGCCCAGGACCCTGGGATCATGACCTGAGCTGAAGGCAGACGCTTAACCGACTGAGCCACCCAGGTGCCCCAAGAACCCCTTTTTAAAAAATTCACAGCATGGGAAAAGAAAAGTTCCAAAATCTCTAGAGACTAACTCAGGGGGAGAGGAGAAAGGGCAATTGCCACTTCAAACACCCCAGAACACCCCGAATGAGGTCCAGCTTGACTCCAATGTTCTCTATTTCTATTAAACTGGGGATGTTCTCCAAAGCCTTCTGTATGGAATTCAACCAGTCTTCAGAGAGTCTGCACTGGATATCACTTCAGCCTTTCCTATCTGAAGAAAGTCACTTGCGTCACAATGGAAATGGCTGCTAATAACTGAGGATTCCCCCAAATTTTAGAGTCCACAAACACTCTCTCAGGTGACCGGCCTCCTGTCAGCCTCCTCTCTTTCCCAGGTTCACTTGAAAGAACCACACTCTCCCCCTCGTCCTAACTGCCAGGGTGGAAGCAAAGCAAGGAAGAAAAGAAAAACGGGGGACAGAAAGAAGAAAGTGGTCAGTATGGAGTTACCATCCAGTTTCCCCAGTTTCTTTCCTGCCAGGGCCCTTCCGGCCAGAAACCCCACTCCAAAGCACGGCAGGGGTGGGGTTGATGGGGGTGGGATTCCCACTATTCTGTGTACCCCTTTTGCACTCAGTGGAAGGACATGGCATCTGATCTTCCCTTTAACCACAGCAGGGTGAATGTGGCCAAGTCACCACGAGGGAGAGACGGTGCTGGGCCAGAGAACGCCTAGCTTCCCTCTCTGGCCCAGTGAGTTGGAGGGATAGAGTTACCAAGTGGGGTTGGGAACAGATCTATTCACCCCAACCACACAGCTGCTGTCATGTTGAAATGTTGTGGCCATTAAAAGACACCGCATGCAACATGGATGAGACATGTCCACAAAGTAATGATGCTATTTTTTTTCCCTCTCTCTCAACAAATAGAGCACAAAGCTAGCTTCCTGAATTCTCAAAGCCAGCACCTTTCTTCCTGTTTAACAGAGGAAAAGAAAAATCTCAAGTATGGATGGCAAAAGTGCCTACTCTTGTTGTAGGTGCCTGCTCTTGGTGACCACTCTCCCGAGCAGACTCTTGAGATGGAGACCAAGATGACTCGGGGTCACACTGTACTTTCGACCCAGCTGGATCACCCAGACCTTCTATGTCAGACTTGATTCCTCATATGTCACATCTTTCGATAACTTCCAAATATCAAAATTCAGTCTCAAAGGACAAAGACTTGTGAGCAGGGAGGGTTTTTGAAAGAATTTGCTGAAGGTGATTCCAAAAGAGGAGTTGTCAAACGTCGAATCTGAGTAATAGCAGTTAAGTAGTTAGTCTCCTCCAGGAATGATTACAAAAGGCACCACAGTGATTTGGATGTATAAGTTCTGGTGTGTTTGCATCACGATAGACACGAAAAGGGGCGCCTAGGTGGCTCAGTCGGTTAAGCGTCTGTCTTCAGCTCAGGTCATGATCCCAGGGTCCTGGGATTGAGCCCCACGTAGGGCTCCCTGCTCAGCGGGGAGCCTGCTTCTCCCTATCCCTCAGCCCCTCCCCCACCGCTCGTGTTCTCTCTCTCTCAAAAAGATAAATCTTTTTTTAAAAAAAGGATAGAAACAAACAAAAACACCCCGAGGCTCCTAACTTGACATTCACCTTGAACAATAAGGCAGGCAGAAATAAAGCAATGGCAATGCACTTGGGTTTGGAGAGGAAAATTCAACCTCCGCTCAAACAATACATGACTGCTACTTCACCCCATTCACTTTGATGAAAAAGTGACACTGACTTCCACCATCAAGAATCAGTAGAACAGACAAATTCCTGGGATAACATTTCGTTTGATCCTAATCTACAACATCTATAAGATCAAAGACAAAAAAACCCGGGGGGGGGGGAGGGGGGCAGCAAACCCTTAATATACACCTCCCACCTTCCCACAAATTCTGAAGGCCCCCTCCGCAAACAATCCTCAGTGTCCTAATACAAACACATCAAGAAAACAAGCCTTGGGAATTTGAATTCCTGGCATCCTAAAGAACAGACAAACATCAAAACAGGGAAAGAAAAAAAAGCACTCCTTTTTCAACCAGGTTTTATTTAGAACAAATTTTTTTTAAAAACTGCATTTCAAAGTCAAGCAGTTCCTAGTTAACCGCTGTTAAATATATGGCATTTATCTGTCCCAAATTAAAAAGAAAAAAATCCTAAGAATTCCGAAGACTCACCAAGTTAACAGTGTCTGGGGCTGGAAAAATACCTTCCCCAGACAGTTCTTCTAAGAATGTCCCGTAGGGGGCACTAGAGAGGTGTGATTGGGACTGACTTGGGAATCACAGTCATTTCTGGTAAAAGTTCTTTGATGTGAGGAATGTCCCAGCCTGGTACAGTTGGCAAAAGTTCACTCCGGGGAATTTTGTGTGTGTGTGTGTGTGCGCGCGCGCACGCATGCATATGTGTGTCTGTCTGTCTGTCTCTTGGGAAAGGGCGGTTGCCGAAGAAGAGAGCTAGTCTGGTATTCCTTGATTCCAGAAAGGAATTGTCCCTCTTGGTTTATTTTCACAAGTTATCGGAGGAACAGACAAATGGCAGCCTTGGAAAAGTTCTGGGTGTTGTTTTTGTTTTGTTTTTTCATTAAAAGGGGGCCCAGCTGATGAAAACAAGTTATGAAATGACCTGTGTTTGTGCAACTGGCCGATTGCGTAACGCTCAGGCCCTGAAACCGTAATAGTCAGGCAGCCAGGCAGGGCATATATCTGGGAGGTGTTTTCCTAGGAAAGTTAGAAGAGAGAGAAAACAACAACAATAAACAGAAAAGGCCAGGAGGGGGAAGTGTGTGCAATGATTACAGACAAAACAAAATCACCAATGACCAACCTTTTAGATTAAAACTATAACTGGAACAGGAAATATTTTTCATGCTTGGAGTTCCTGCCATATACAAGAAGAGTGGTTTTAACCAAGAGTTATCTGCCCCCCCACCCCCACCCCTCCAAAGTCCCTGGAACTCACGGCCATGTGTTAAAATCAAGCTTTATTAAGCTAGAGAGAAGTTCTGGGTTGAATAGACAGCAACAAACTTATTGGGAATATCAGGCCCCACAAACAAACAGATGAGGAAAATATAATATTCACTGGCCCAAGGGAAAACCAGAGAACCCTCTTTTCTTACACCGACTGGTCCATGGAGACGCCACAAAGGTGGAAGGCCCGGCACTAAATGCCAGGAAAGCCTCCCCGCAAAGGAAGCTGAGAGAAATAAAGTGATTACAAGTTGTATCTGGTATGTAATAAAGTTACCTTGAGCCCAAGAGATCCGGTGGGAGATCGGGTGGGGTCCTAGCGCAGACTTGTGAAGTAACAAAAGCCTCTCAAGTCGGTCCTAAGGACCACAGAACAGCTTTGCTCCAAGTTGGAGAGATGATGGAAAAACCTTCCCCCCGCCCACCCCCTCCCCAGGAGTGGACAGGCTGAGAAACTTGTCCAAAGCCGCATTACCTTGCCAATACCTCTGCTTTGAAAGGCACCTCACTCAAGCTGCAGGGCCAAACAGGCAGGCGTATATGCAAGAAGCCCGTGCACCAGTTATTACTAATTGCAAAATCCTCATGTGTTACAGCATGCTAGGAATTAGCCCACAGCTGCTTTTTGCTTCGGTAATGAGGCCCCATTACACCCTGCTGGACTGAGTTCTCTTCCTTCTTCCTAGCACTGGTTTCCTGTCTGATTTTCTTCCAAAACAGGGAATTGCCTCTGCTCACATCCTGGGCTCAAAGCCCTAGTGACACAGATTATTCAATCGGGGCACTGATGTCCGGTCTGACTTCCCATTCAGGCCCCAGGGTCTGAGCAAAGCCAGGCGGCAAGATTGCCATATTACAGTGATAACTGCCACGAAAACGGCAGCAAAAGGGACAGACAAGATATCAAAAGATCTCTTTCAGATTCAGGGAGGAGGAGAAGGACGTTTTGGCAGCTTGTTGCGTTGGAGAGTAAGGGCAAGGGTATAAATGACTCTGACCCCCTTTGCCTAATGATATTTGGATTCAGTTAAAACCACCGAGACTGGAAAGCAAACAAAATCACTTTTTGAACAAGATTTAAGGCTCATCACCTTGGGGCTCATTATTAAGGGTACACTGAATGCCCCATCGATGCCCCGACTAGGTTCTCTGCAGTGGGTGCTTATGGGGGCACCAGGGGAGATAGAGAAAAGCCATTTTGGGGACTCACCAAGTATGGGTGATCACTTTGGAACAAGGTATCCCTCTTCAGATCCCAAAGAGAGCCGTGTTTCCATTTTATCTTCTGGCAGGATCCACCCCTCCCCGGGAAGCCCACCCCAGCCCCTCCTGGCTGGCTGGCTTCTAGAGGCCAAGGCTACCGCCTTACCCGGGCAACTCTTGCTGCAGCCAACTTGGCTAGAGACTCCGCAGATCCTGACCGAGATGGGCTTCAGGTTGTAGTGGCCTTCTTTGTTAAGCCAGCTCCCTCTGAAGCCTGGGGGGGTGGGGGGTGGGGAGGCCGCTGCAGAGGGCAGACACCCCACCAGCACCTTTCTGGTATTTATAGACACAGAACGCATGCACAATCCTTCCAGTGCAAACCAGTCCGGCTGCTTTAGAAACAAGTTGTTTTTCGGCTTCCAGAACCACCCAGGAGCCTAAGCAAGGTCTCTTCCTCCCCCCCCACTTCTCTCTGCAGGCGTCCTTGCCCCAGGTACCCCCACCCCCAGAACCTCAAGGCGCCCCTTCTGGTGGCAGTACAAGCTCCTTCTCTGACCCTAACAGGAGATGGATGGGCACAGGGGCACAAAGGCGCAGGCCCCGAGCCTATCAAGGCTGACCTCCTCCTTCCTGACCTTCGCACCTATTCCCAGAGCGACAACCCTCGCCCTCACTCTGGATTAGTTGGAAGAGCCCAACCATGTTTCCGAATCCCTAACCTCTTTCAGAAATTAAGACTGATGGAGAGCAGGGGAAGAGGGGGAGAGGGCTCTCCCACAGGAACAGAGTCCTTGGATGTCGGGAGAGGCCAGTGGGTGCAAAAATTTGTTTGCCCACCACGGAGAAGTGAGGGGAGAGGAGGGAGGGATTTCTGGGAGAGGAGTTAACAGGCTCCTGAGAAGGGAGGCTGCAATTCCAGGAGCTTGTCTGGGGAAGATGTAGTGTGAGGAAAAGGGTTTGCCGGCTCTTCAAGCCCACTCCCCGGTCCAATTAAAAAAAGAAAGAAAGAAAGAAAGAAAGTGGTGGGGGGAGAAGGGTGGGCGGGACAACACGAAAATCCAAAACTTGCAGTGGTGACCCTGTAGGAATTTTCTCGCCAAGCCAAAAATGGGAAAAGAAAGCAAAAGAGGCAGTGGCGGCGAGAGGAGGGCGGGGGTCCGCCCGCGCCGCCAGGTGCACCCGGGGCCCGCACCTACCTGCTGGCCGCCGCCGCTGGTGTAGGACTCGGCGTGCGCAGGAGAGCCGCTGCTGCCCCGGGACGAGGTGTCAAAGTTCCCGGGATAATCCTGGTACATGATCCGCGGTGGGGGCCCGAGAGGAAACAGGGTGTTTTTCTTCCCCCGCCCTCGCCGCGGCCGCGCACCGGCTGCTGCGCGCTCGCTCCCTGCCGGCCGCGCCTCGGGCTCTAGTCTTCGCTCCCGGGCTTCTCCCCGACGGTGGCGGGTGCGGACGGGAGGCGGCGACAGCCCGGGAACCGTGCCTCCCGAGCGCCTCGCGCTGCACTTCTTTCCTGCTCTCCGAGCGCCGCGGGACCGCCACCCGGTCCCTCCCTCTAAAAGTCCGCGCGTCCCTCGGTCCCTCCCCTGCGCGCGCCCTCCCGCTCCCGCGCGCAGCCGGAGCCCAGCCGGGACAGACCGCCCGATCAAAAACTGGAAATTGAAAAAAGAACAAGAGCCCGGCGGATCGCGCCTGCCAGGTCCGGGGGCCCCCCGATTTCAGACAGGGCAAAAAGAAAAAAAAGGCGAAAAGAAAGGCTGCCCGCCGGGAGAAACTTCTATTTCCTCCTTTTAGAAAAGGAGCTGAGAATAAACTTCCTGTGGCCGACTCGCCGCCGGAGTTTCGCAGCGGCTCGGACACTTGCGGGGAGAAGGTAGCCTGCGCCCGGGCCGCGGGGTTCCAGCCGAGCCGGCGCTGAGAGGGACGCGGTCCCGCTGCCCGTGCCGCCGCTGCGGCGCCCGACTGCACCCCTTCCCCGGCGCCTGCTCCCGGACGGGCCGCCTCGCCCGGCCGCGCCTCTCTCCCTCGCTCCCCGGCCCGCCGAGCGCCGCTCACTTGCTCGTCGCTTCGCTCGGAGCCCCTGCGCTCTGCCCGAGATGAGTCACTACAATGGCACGAGTTCAACTCCACACTCTTTATTCTCCAGCCCCTGTACCATGTGGATTCACTCACGTCAACCCCAGACTCCACCTTGCAAGGGAGGAGCGCGCGGGGAGGCGGGGGGAGGAGGAGGAGGAGGAAGAGGCGCGGGAGGAGGCGGGCGCAGCGCTCCCCTCGGTGCCCCGGCTCCCGGCCGCGCTGACGCCAGCCGCACACCCGGCGCGGCGAAGAAAGGCGGTGGCGGGGCCCGAGCGGACCGCCGGCGCGGCTTGGGGGCGCCGAGGCGGCCCGGGCCCTGGCCCTTCCCCACCCCCGCGCACCCCCGAGCCCAGCGCCCTTGGTCCGTTCCATTGGCGCACGTTGCCAAAGATGGTCATTTGCGTTAGAGGACGCGAGTGCGGGTTCCCTCGCTTTCGGGTGACGTGGAGGGAGAGGGATTCCCTTGCCGGCTCCCGAGCGCGCCGCGGCCTCCCCCTCCACCGCCCTGGGAAGGGGCGCCGGGCGGGGCCCCCGAGTGCGGCCGCGCGGGCCTCGGCGCCGGGTTTTACAAAAAAATCACAGCCTGAAGAGCGAGACGGGCGGTTCAGTGCGGCGCCACCGCGAGGCCGGGAGCCGGGCGCGCAGAGCCGCTCTCAGGGAGGGCGCGGCCAAGCGCGGTCGTCGGCGCCCTCGGCGGCGCCGCCCGGTGCAGCGGGCGCCCTGGGCGCGCAGGGTACCCGCACCGCCCTGCGGCCGGCCCTTGGCGGGGCGCGGCGCCGCCGGGCGGGGCCGACCTGCCTATTTTTCCCGGCATGGCTGGCTGCCCACTGCTGCCCCCCCCAACCCCGAACATACGCACTTTTTTTTTTGCCCGGCCCTACAATTAATCTGTTAGGAGTAGCCCTGAAGAAGAAATGAACCAGTCGAGACATTCCGGCCTCCCTCTGTGCGGGACAATTAGGACGCATCTAATAGTAATCGGGCAAACTCGACTGTTAAGAATTTAAAAAAAATAAAAGAGAGGGAGGGAGGCAGGCCCGGCAGAGGGTGTGCCCCAACGTTGTCCTCAGCTGTTTTGGAGGGAAGTTCAGGGAGCAAGGAGCGTGGATTCCTGGGTCTTCCCGCCTCGCCTGGTGAGGCGGGGCGAGGTGCGGGTTAAAGAGCACAGACCTCGCAGTACGAACGTCAGGCTGTGCTGTTTATGAGCTGTGAGACTTTGGGCGAGTCCCTTAACCATTCTGGGCTTCGGTTTCTTCCTATAAAATGAAGGGGTTGGAAAAGATGACCCTCTAGGGGCCTTGCCAGCTCTGGAACTTCAATTCTTCTGCAGAGACGATCCGGAGGAGCACTGTACTAGGAGTCAAGGAACTTGGGTTCTGGTCCAGACACTGCTTTAGTCTCGGTTTCCCCGGCCCTTAAGTGGCGCCATCTGTACCCCACAAGGTCCTTGTGAGGACCCGACGGGAAGATGTATGAAGACTGTGAACCCTGTGAAGCGCTGTGCGTTGTAACACGTCACAGATCCGGTCCTCAGTTTCCTTATCTGTAAAGTGGGGGAGTTGCTAGGAAAGAAAAATAGAGCCGGGAACTCAAAGCTTTCCCGGGGCTCTATATAAAGCGCTGGCGTTTCCGGGACGGCTGGCGGCATCTGGCCGCCCCAATGGCCCCAAGATACGGTAATCCCAAACAATACTCGGGGTCATTGTTTACAGCTATAAAACACATTTTGTCCTGAGCTCCATCCCCAAGGACGCGCGCGGCGAGGCGAGGCTGGCCAGACCCCTCGCACCTCCGCTCGCCGCGCTCCGGACAGAGTCCCCAACTCCGCGGGCCGGGGAAAGGTGTGCGGCCGGCGGATGTGCACACCGGCCGCGGGGACGCGGGGGGGGGGGGGGGGATTGTTTTGTTTGTTGTTATTGTCGTTTCATCCCTGAGTCCCGCCTGCCTGGGTGTTTACGCGCCTCTCCCAGCAGGACTGAGTAAATGCAGTTCTTTGACGCAAAACCGATCAGTCCTTTCCCCAGCGGCAGTGGCAAAACCAGAAAACTGGGGGTGGGGACGGTGTCGGGGAGAGCGCAGGAAAAGAAATCGTGACACTTTCTCACTCGCCTCTCCGTCCCCTCCTGCGCCACACGCCTCCCCCCTCCCCAGGTGTCTTAGCGAGATCTTGGGGGGGCTGCAAAGCGAGGCGTGGCCAGGACCCTCCCGGGGGCAGCCGCGTAAAGGAGCGGCCCGAACAGATGCACTTTTGGTTTTCCTTTGAGCACCAGCGGCTGCCCGGCCCTCCCCCACCCCGCGCTCGAAAATCCGGGTGCTTCTGGGTCTCTCCCACACAGTCCTTCCAGTAATGCGGGGTGGGGGGGGGGGAGGAGGGGGAAAAGGAGCGGGAGCTTCCTCCGCGGCTTCCGCGGTCCCGGGCGCGCCCAGGCCCCGGCCGGCGCCGCCGGGAGCGCGCGGGCGGGCGAGCGCACCCGCGCGCCCTCGCCCGCCCCCGCCCTGCCTGCTCCCCGGCCCTTTCCTTTCTTGTGGGTTCCCGTAAAGCCCAGCAGCACCGAGACGTCTGCAGAGCATCACGGAATCTGTGCTGATGCAAGTCGCTAGCCTCCCTTTGGTGCGCCTGGCCCGCCTCGGGGCGCTTTGATCCCGGTCTTCCCCAGCTCCAGAACTTGGGCTGGTTGGTTCTGCCCGCCGGGAGGCCTGCGTTCTGCGGCCTGCCCTCACCCTTCGGTCCCCGCCGAAGCGCCAGACACACAGAGCTGCGCCCTGGTGCTGCGGCGGGGACTGGCCGTATGGTCTGGCTGATGCCGCAGCCAAACGGTGACTGCCAAACCGAGAATTCAACCCCCAAGCCCAGTTTATTGCCTCCTTCTTGGGGAATCATTTTTGATCACCCGGTTAGAAAGGGTCCTCTGGCTCCCTGGAATAACATACTAAGAATAGAGGCCATGTTCCTGACCAAGAGTCAGGCACCAGGCCCATTACTTTAAGGGATTGTCTGGTGCGAGGTGGGTATTATTCCCTGGTTGCAGATTAAGAGAGTGAGATTAAGTAACTTGTCCAGGAGGTTTGGTTAGTGGACTAGGGATCCAGTTGGAAATGCAGCTGGGCCTGTATGACACCAGCTTCTTCCTCTTCTTACCCAGGACACTGCATGACCTGCCTCCTCCTGGCATGTCTTTGTTTCTCTCTTAATGGTCTCTGGAAAGCATGGACTTCACTTGGCACATGACTTTGTCCTACACTCACAGGTGCTCCTTAATTCTCAGCTGAATAAACAGCCTAGCATCATGGCTCAGCTTAGGGAAAGGTCACGTCAGGTATGAGAAGCAGAGGAGAGAGAAGAGGGATGGGGGAAGAGGATTGCTGGGGGCTGTCTTCTCACTGTCTCTCTGGGTCTCTGCTCCCTGCCGGGCATGGCTGTTGCTTCTCCTCCTTTGTCCCTCCAGCCCAATATTTGGTCCCTGACCTGAATCCCAGAATGGCTGCCTGCTCTGGGCTGCACTGGCCCACACATTTGAGTGCTGGACAGTCCGTGAAACCTTTCACATACATGGCCTCCCTTGTCCTCACACAACATCCCTGCCAGGGACGTGACAGCAGAGGGGTTGACTCTGGATGGCCAAAGAGGAGGCCAAGGAACAGAATGGCAAGGCAGCCTACTCAAGATGTCCCAGCCTGTGGGTGTCAGAGCCTGAGCTCAGAGTCATCCCACCTGACTTGACACCCAGTGCTCTGCACGTCACCTATGCTCCCAGCCTTGATGGGCCAGAAGCAAACTCCATGTCTTAATGATAAATGGTCCTCTCTGCATCATGCCTAAGCAAATCTGCCATTATTTCTCTGTAGTAAGCAATATATTTTGATGATCTTTGAACATTTCCGAAAGCCGGTGTCTCTTATAATCAATGACTGTTTAATATGGAAGCATTTGTGTTTGTCCAAAGATCTCTGGATCAATCAGGAATCTATCGGGAAACAGACTTCAGCCCAGCTGGCTCAAAGGAAGAGGCTTTTATGGAGAATCTCCGAATAGAGATGGGGGGCAGGGCTAAGCGAGCAAGGGACCTTGGCACCCAGAGCCTAGTAAGGGCTGGAAACTGTGACCACCCCTAAGATGGAGAAGGAGAGGAAACAGTGTTATTAGAGCCTGGTGGGCCCTGGTGCCAAGGAAGCGGGCCATCAAGCAGGACCGAGAGAAGCAGACACTGGCAAAGAGTGCTGGGGGATGGCAGCTAGGGAGGGAGGCCAGACCCCTCTCTCTCATCCCCTCACCCCATGTCTAGCCAAAGGTAGTCAGTCCACTAAGGTCAGTCTCCCAGGACATACAGAAGGGCAAAGAGGGTGAACAGTGGGTCCGGTGGGGGTGGGGTGGGGGAGGCACACGCAGCAAATTGGGGAGTAATCAGTATTAAGATGCTGTTAAACCTAGGTGTATCTTCTCGTGGGTGGCATTTCAGGATGGGGGGGCGAACACAAAGCAATCAGTGGGTCCCACACCTCTCCCTGAGTGGGGGTGAGCGTCAGGATAGCCTGCACGGCTTTTCCAAACTGCACCTCCCCTCCCTTTAAACTTTACAGCTACACTGAGCCACTAATCCTAAGGGAATGTATGCTCTCCCTCAGGTGTGGGGGCAGAAGACAAGTTGGGAACCATGGATCAAAAGATATCAGCATCTGGGGGAAAGAGCCCAGTGAATAAGCAATGTTGGCTCCCTCCCCTGTGGCCTCCTTTAAATTCCAAGGAGGACCCTCCCCGCTTAAGTGTTCTGAGATGTGGCACGTACCTCCACCCACCCTGATTCCCATTTCATGTACAGGACATACGCTAATGAGAAGAAATGGAAACAAGGACATCCAGAAACCCTCACTCTAGAGGCCACCATAATAGTAATATTAAAACTGCAATGTGCTGCATTGGGCTGACGGTCCCATGTTGAAAGATTCATCAGGCTCTACCCTAAGATGAGGGCACTTTATTCACTGTATTTTTACCTTCAGTAACAGGCAAAAGCAAACAACAACACAACCATTTTGTTGCCTTAGACCATGTGTGGAGTTACACTGAAGTTTGTGCAAGACTTTCCAGAAAG